ACATACATACATTACATACATACATACATACATACATACATACATACATACATACATACATTACATACATACATACATACATACATACATACATACATACATACATACATACATACATACATACATACATTACATACATACATACATACATACATACATACATACATACATACATACATACATACATACATACATACATACATACATACATACATACATACATACATACATACATACATACATACATACATACATACATACATACATACATACATACATACATACATACATACATACATTACATACATACATACATACATACATACATACATACATACATACATACATACATACATACATACATACATACATACATACATACATACATACATACATACATACATACATACATTACATACATACATACATACATACATACATACATACATACATACATTACATTACATTACATTACATTACATTACATTACATTACATTACATTACATTACATACATACATACATACATACATACATACATACATACATACATACATACATACATACATACATACATACATACATACATACATACATACATACATACATACATACATACATACATACATACATACATACATACATACATACATACATACATACATACATACATACATACATACATACATACATACATACATACATACATACATACATGTACATGCATGCATACATACGAGAGAGGGAGAGTGGGGAGAGAGAGGCTTGGGGGGATGGGGAGGATGGGAGCAGAGGGAGGGAGAGAGGACGACAGAACACACAAGGGAGACAAGGAAGAGAGGAAGAAGGAGAAAAGGGAGAGGACAATGTCGGCGGACTGAGCCGGAGGCTCTAAAGTATAATCATCTTGATTTGTCGTGGCTTGCACTACACAGCGCATTGCTGGAGTCCTGTTGCAAGTTGGACACCTCGCCGCGCAGCTTTGCCTCAGTCTGGCGCTGCCTTTCCAGGACGTCGCTGTGTTCCTGCGCGGCGTGACCATTGGCTGCAGGATCGAGGACTCATGCATTCGGCCGGGCGAGGCATGGTGCATTGGGTGCAGTGTGAGGGCTTCTCCTTTCCCTGACCTCTTAGTGGGGACACACTCTGATCCGTCAAGACCCAACTTCTTTGACCAAGAAGCCTCCGAACCTCTTGGACAGCATGGCACTCTGCAGCATCGCTCCTGCCAAGCCCCGAGGCTGTCGTAGAGCTCCTCATCCGTGAGGCCCCGCACCTGGCCGCGCTAAAAGCTCAGCTGGGCTAGGCCCGTGTGCCTGTGAAGCCGTGTGTTAGCCAACGCCAATCTGATCTTCAGTGGCTTGGGGTCATGCTCTGGTACCTGCGGCACTTGCGAGGCCGTGACGCCAATGAGCATGCGACAGTAAGCTTGGATCCAAATCATCACAGGTGCAACAATTGCCACACATTCTTTGGACAAAGCCTGGCCTCCTGGAGGATGTGTGCCAACATTTCCTCATCCAGCCTTGGAGCCCGGCGCTCCTGCGGAAATAAATAAGCTTGATTTCCAGATTGACCCGTCGCTACGTATGACATCAAAGGCAGAAAACAGATCGATAGCTACATAGATTCGAGTTGAAGGAGATGTTGTCTCCTCCAACTTCGGGATTCACTGACATCATGCCCGCGAAATCGGCCAGCTGGAATTTCTTCGGGAATGTCTTGCCAGCAAACATCTAGAAGCTGGCATGCTTGGCTATGGGTATCTCTGATCCAGCCCAAACGCTCTCATTCTGGGCAGGACCATCGGTGTGCTTTTTGGGAAAATAGATGGCCCTGGTAACCTGGAAGTTGATTGAACCACCTGGTAAACCAGGGCCCTCTATTTTCAAACAAATTAAAACAAATCAACCAAAAAGGACATGGGCAGGACACAAAGCTTCCATCAGGTTCTTGGTGCTCCAAAGCCCTCAGACCCTTCAAAACTCCTCCCTGCGCTGCGCGGCCACCGGTCGGGCGCGCGGTGCCGCCAGCATGGCGCTGATGCCATCCGAGCGAGGATGGGCAACACCGACTGGAAGGACCCTCGGCCGCAGCGCTTGCATTGAGCATTGAGCTAAAGTTGCTAAACTCACGGGGTTCCTGGGACTGCCTGGTACTATTCGAATTGTCGCTCACAGGCCAGTGGACAGAAAACCGTGCGCGTTGCTGACAGGTCGGACCAAAACACGTTATCTCTACAGTGTATGTCGTTTGCGCATGAACACCAGCTCGGTACCAGGATTTGCCAAGCTGAAATATAAAGACTGAGTGGAGGTTGACTCTTTTATCAGGTTGTGCGGTTGCTGCAGGCAGCGGCTGCAGTACATGGCAATGGAAGTAATCAAAGCTGAGACTGTACCTTGAAACCTGGCCACGACTATCAAGCGCAGCGAGCTCAGGACTCATGTGTTGCCGGAAGACAGAAGACATTTAGCTAGCAGCTTTCATGACTGAGTTGTTCGTCAAAAGCCCCGGCTTCAAAGAAGGCCTTTACATCACCGACCACTCGCAGGAGTTGCACATGCCAGCAACTCAAGGCTAGCTGCCGCCTTCGATCTTCGTAAGGTGTAGATAGGAACGACTGCTCTAGCAGTGGTGTCGCCCGCACCCAGTGCATGGGTCCGGACCGCTTTGAGCGCCGCGGCTTCCAAAAGGTCTCGACCTCAGGTCCCGTGGATGTGTTTCTCATATTCGTCTCACGCGGTTCCTCACCCGTTGCCAGGTATGAACAACATACGCAACATCATCCACCTCAAGGAAAGCACACCAAATCAAAGCAGCACCCTTTGTGCGCAGGAAAGAAGACACAAGCACATGGACAACACATCAGTTGGGCGACAATCAACGAATGGAGTAAACCGTTTGCGATATGTGCATGCCACTTTCTGGAAGGATTGTCCAAGTAACATCCATTGAGGAATAGGTCTGGACTATCAACTTACTGCCGTGTGCCAACTAACCAAGTCCCGAGAAACACTTGAGCCGGGAAGCAAAACCCCATGCCGAAACGCAGCAGCAGCTTTGCCCCATTCCCCTAATGCGCAAACGGCTCGAATGAATATGAAGAAATATGAAGAAATGCAAGATCTGCTTGCAAGCTCTGTTTACCCGCTAACTCAGTAGCAAGCGAGGAGTGCGACCTTCTTCCGGACGCATGATGACACGACCGCGCCTCCCCAACCCAAACAAAAACCCAAGGCAGCGACAGTGCACCGAGGCCGCGCCAGCAGCCACAACGACCTGGATCCGAGCAAAGCAGCCAATATGGTTTTTATTTGCAGGGCTGCCCTCAGATACCTTGCTAAAAGCTTAACTTTTAGTGGGTCAAATGGAAACCCCCACTAAACACAAAAAGTCTAAAAAGCTAGGGGGATGGCTGGGAGCCACCAAGTTTGATATGCGTGATGAAAACTCATGGCAATGGCCCTCTTAGACTCTTGCTTTGGATCCTGTATCAATAGATGTTGCAACTCTGTCCAACACCTAATGGTGCATCCATTGTCCCAAAGACTTCCTTTATGGCATGCAAACACTGTCTAATGGATGTCTACATCTACTGGAGGAATAGTCGGCGGCAAACAAAGCTGGTGTACCCAATCTGGCCCTAAAACAAACTCGACTTCCTAGCTCCACGCGGAAGGCCAGGCTTTACCGTGCGGTAAGCATGGATGGTAGTTGCCCATCCGAGGCATCGACCTTCAAGATGACGCTGGTGCTGAGGGCGGAGAGCTGAGGCGTCAGAACCTGACGGGCCGGTGTGAGCTTGGTCGCGGCTTTTTGCAGAAGGACCAAAAGACAAACAACCTGGGCTCACGCTGCGTCAAAACCCAAGTGTGCCATTGCCTTCAGAATGCAAACAAGCTATCAGGCCAACCTCGTCCGCGGCGCATTGTGAGCCGCGAGATACTTTCAATGTGGAGTATGGGCTCTGAAATGCTCCAAACATTGGAATTCTGCAACGCCAGTTCCACTGATCAACCTTGCCCCTGTGGAATCTTCAGAGTTGGACAGAGCCGCCTCTGTGACACGGCTGAAGAGTCTCTTGGCACCGAGGCCTGGGCAACGGCGCGCGGATGTCAACGTGACTCGCATGGGCTCGTTGCCAGCGTCTGCGCCCTAGTCGCCCTAGTCTCTCCATCCATTCTGCTCCAACATGGCCTGAGGACTCCTACAAGATGATCCCTCTGGGAAGTTTTGGCTCTGTCTCCTTGGAAAGGCAACCGGGCTTGGGGAGCCCGTGACCATCAAGGAGCACCCGTTCATTCAACCACCGATTAGCTTCACCACGGTGCGAAGGCCACAACGCTGTGAGCCCTGCTATTTGAAGCGTTGGAGGTGGCCACAAGCAGCATAAGCTCGGCCACATCCTCCGCAGTCCTGAGCATTAGCTCTGGCCAAGCACATAAGTGGCATGCCCCGAATGAATGCTCAACTCGGATGGGGAATCCAGCAAGGCAACAATGCGAACGACTGAGACTGATTAGACCTGTCCGCTGGCCAATGTCGCAAATGAAAGACATGAATTTTATGGAGTTTTCGAGAGCCCCTTGGCCACCCTCAGAGTGGCGTGCAAGTCACGCCGTCTGAGTGCTTGGCCAGCTCTCTAAGCCTCAGCGGCGAGCCGCAAGCGAGGCTCTTCCTTCAAGCCGTGCGAACGTTCCTTGCGCTCACCGGAAGCCTCTTCATACAAAGCGCGTAGCTCAAAATCCAAATGCCCCGTGCTCAAGCACAAAGAGAAAATAACAATGGGTCGCAGCTGGACAAAGGTAGGTTTGATTCTGATTTCAGCAGGGCCCTCGGGCTTTGCCAATGGGAACGCATCAGTGTGGGCATGAAATAATTTGTTGATGGGAGCAAAAAAACACATTCCAATGTTTGCCCTATGCGCTTCGGTTTGGGCGCGCAGCACGCTTGCAACATCTGACAGGCCAAGAGGCTTTGCGCTGCAGCACCGGCCACCTGGGGACTCTTAGCAAATGGCCGGAAGTGGCATAAGGAAGGAGGTGCCTTGCGTGATGCCATCCGTTCTAAGATCTAAAGAAAGCCTTGTGCTTCACGGGTGTTCCTTTTCCATTCCCGCCCAGGTAGCTCCCCCCCCGGCGTCGCAGCTCCCCTTTCCGGGGCCCTTTTTCCCCGCACCGCATGATGGCACTGGCCCTCTCACTGCCCAGCGCAGTAAAGGCGCGCAAGCGCATCCCCTGACGCCACAGGGCACAAGGCACACCAAAACGCAACCCTTTGCGCGTGGCCGCTGAAGCTAACGGGTGCATCAAGCTTGGCGCATGTTCCGGTTTCAAGTCCTCTGCGCAACTTCAATATACTAAATGAGGTGAAAATAGATGTGGAAAAAATGTAGAGATGACCAGAGACTTAACTCAGATTCAGGGAGTTCCCAACGGATAGAAATCTCCCTTTCCTTCCTCTTTCCAAGACTCACCCTTGTAACGACCTAGCTCTCAGTGCTTGAACAAGAGCTAGGACACATAGCGGTCAAGTGGCGAGTGGATGATAGGAAAATAGACCATGAGATACAGAGAAGATAAAGAGAGGAATTACATAAACATATTGTATCTTCCTTTTTTCCTCATATTCTTTCCAATATGTTGTTTTTTGTTTTGTTTTTTTTGTAATCTGTTTATTATTTATTGTAAACTTTAGAATCTTGGAAATTCACATATTTTACAATCTACAATGTACAATTTTTTGGGCCGAAGAAGCAGGAAACCTCGAGGCAAGGACAACGTGCACAGCACGACAGTTGTGCTTCACGGCCACCAGGTCAGCCCAGCTTCTCTCTGAAGCGAGGTGGGCAACATACAGCAGAAAAGTGAGCAAAGGGCAGTGGAAATAAGCACTGTCGTGACAGCAGCAGCCAGGCCTTGACAGGGCCTGACTCTATGTTCAACCCGCTCTCTCATGCAATTGTATGAAGGGGCCAAACAGGCCCTTTGTGAATCTGTACCTTTACGCCCCGCATCCCTTCCACACCTCATCCACTGGCAGCTGGCTCTTCACGATGGCCTGGAAGATGGAGTCGAAGGCCTGAAGCAGGTTGCCTTTTTCTTGGATTTTGCGCGTGGTTTGAACAGGGCTCCCTATATTTCCCCGTAAAACATCACCCTAAGGGACACTCACCTCAAAGGGAAACATAGGGACCCCTGTAGGAGCTTGGTTCCTCACCGGCTTGGTGGGCTTCCCCCGGCCTCCGGGCCCAGGCGCAAGCCTGCGGAGAGCAAAGGCTTCAAGGTCTGCGGCGTGATCGCCAGCTTCCGCTGCTCCATCTCCCCCAGGCGCTGCCAAGCAGTGGCAACGTCGTCCAGCAGGCAATACGCCTCAAGCGAACCGTCGAACCGAACCTCGAGCGCAAGGCGCCGGAATCCGAATCCGAAAATGGGGGGCCATGGAGCTTCTGCCCAAAGCTCCATGACACAAGACAACAACCGAAAAACCAGGGAAGGAGAAAAGCTGCAGAACACTCATCTCACTAGACCATATCCCCTCGCCTGGATCAGGGCAGCATACGTGAAGGCGTTGGGCTGCACATGTTGCCGCTGCATGTCCAGGAGTAAGTCCTCTGCTTGCTGCGCTTGCCCAGCTTTGGCGCACGCATTCATGGCGGAACTGAAGCACACCACATTGGGCCGCAACCTTAGCAAACAGTCTGGAAAGCATGTATATACAATCGTACTGTGGGTGGACGAAATCCATTTCGCACCACCTACCAACAAACAAATGGTTCCCCATGGCTTCAAAGTGGTGCAGGATTTCGTCCATCCACAGTATGCTGATTCTCGACACTTGTGATGACTACGTACGCCTTGCGCTGCATTCCATTAGTTTGTATGCAACATATCAGTATGACATGCAAACTCCCCTTGTTGCGAGGTTTCAGCAGAGAGCTTTACAGAGAACCCTGAGCAAAGGCAGAAGCAACATGGTCTTCCTTGCAGGTGCTAGTTGTTCTTAGAAGGAATCCCTAATATTTGCAACAATGATGGCACGCAACTCCAGGAGCAGGCCCCAAAGAGACACCCACACGTAATCACACAAAGACCCAAACAACTGGCTCCAGGAGCAAAGTGATATCACACTTGCACCTTTTTTTTGTCAAGAGACCCGTCTTCCCGCATCCGCTCCAGCAAGCTGATGGCGGTGTCTGCGTCGTTGCTCTTAGAGCAGGCGCTGATCACCGCCCCATAGACGTGCTGATTGGGCAATATGTGTCGTTGAGCCATGGCCTCCGGACGCACGGGGCAAGCGAAATACTCGGGGGCCAGGCTGCGCCTTATTGATCAAGCGTCGTTTTGCTCACAAATCCGGTGGAGATCGCCGAAAAATATTGAACAGCTAAGGAAAACCTGTCTGCACCAATCTGCCCCACTCAATCAGCGAAGCAGCGCCTCCAGTGTCGCCTGTGCTTTGGCAGTGTCGCCGATCTTGGCCCAGGCAGAAGCCACCGCTGAGAAGCTAAATGCATCCAGTTGAAATCCTTTGTCCTTAGGCCCGGCCCTTGGAGATTTGGCCACATGTTTCCCGGCTCCCATTCCGAACGCGGCAACGCAAGCGAACAGATCTCTCGAGATGTGCCTGTCCTCCATCTGGGCCCTGACAAAGTTGGCCAGCATGGGCTTGCCGCCTTTGGCACACGCGTCGATCACGGAGTTGTAGTTCACCGCGGTGGGTGTCAATTTTCCTGAGCCATTCCCAAGCGTCAGAGTTTCCTTGCAAACCTGGCGATTATGCTTTTCTTGGTCACTTGGAATGCACCTACATGTGACTTTGGCTTTGCTTCTTGTGGGGTGGTTTACCAGCACACTACCTACCAAGTCCACACCATTTCAGTTTGTCTGCGCTTCGTGGCAGCCCCGCGCACACGCATGGTTCAAGCCACATCATACCACAACGCATCATATAAGGTTACACGGTGCATCATATGATAAGGCCCGGCATCTGATATATATATATATAATATACATATATATATATATATATAGACAGTATGTATGATACCATCATACCACATGATTTCATATATCACGTCGTATGATCACATTGGATCAGCCCATGTCAGATCACATGACAACATTGTTCTAAAATGCAATTAGACGATACATGCCATTATCGCATTGGATCAGGCCCATGCATGCTGTATCATACTATGAACCATGCCATGACATACCACGTATCATGAAGGCGTCATGCGCCTATGCGGCACGCGTTGTGTGTAGTCTTTTTGGCACAGCATAAAGTGCAGCGAGTTCTGTAAACGTAGCACCCAGCACGCGCTAGTGCACGCAAGCTTGTAAAATCTGGCAACCGAACAAAGATGGTAGACACTTGCTGCTGGCCGAACAAACGTCTTCGCGCCATCTGCTCCAGCACGTTGACAGCCTTCTCTGGAGCACTCTGCTTGGCAAATATGCGAATGATCTCGTTGTAGTAGATCTGGTCCAATTGGACCGCAGCTCCTGCTTGCTAACACTCAATCTAGGTAATTGAACATGTAAATAGCGTCAAGTTCAACCCCCAAACAAGCCTAAAAATAAAATGCCAACCACAAAAGGCAAGCAGCAGACTGAACACGAGCAGAACAAACGGGTGTTGAACGGAGCCAACTGTTAGCAGCTAACATGATTCAAGTCGGCTAGGCATAACTCGGGATTCTCGTTAAACTCCATACCCCGCTACAAGCTGACTCCTTCCATTTCGTCAATCAGCTCTTGCGCGTACTGCAGATCCCCAATGTCACCGCACTCCCGGATGCAAGTGCTGTAGCAAAGCTCGTTGGGCAAAAACCGGGCGGTTTGCATCTGCCGCAGCCATTGCACTGCCTGGTGGCCCTTTGAATTTGTGACCATCCAAGCATGCGGCCCAAGGCCAGGTGTCATGCCATCCGCCGCCATGCGCTTCATCCAAGCGCCAGCCTTGGATACATCGCCGAGGCGCTCATGCGCCTGCCACACCGCCTTGTAGCTGAGAATGTCCGGAATAATATGGTAGCCTTGCATCCTCTCAAAGGTGGCCAGGGCAGCATTGACATCAGCCACCTTGGCGTGGCCAGAGATCAAGATGTTGAAGGTCGCAGTGTCTGGGCAAACTTCCTGGACTAAGCGACTCATCCACTCCTAAGCTGACCCTTCAAGGCCTCTCCAGTAGCAGCAATCAGCTTCCAACTGTCGAAACATCAGCCCGTAGTATACAAAGGCTAATCCCTGCCCCTCCCTCTAAAAAAACAGGGGGACCCCCTAAACAAAAAACCGGAGGAAACACAGGATTTAATTGCTAGTTTTTTCCGGGCACCAAACTCGCTCAAAACGACTCTTTCCGACTAGCGGAGTGAAAATCAACGATGCGCTTGCTTGGGTTTTTTTGGGGCTTGGCTTGAGCCTCCTTTTTTAGTATTGGTCAATTCTAATTAGTTTTCAGGGATTTCAGGTCCCGAAGAAACAATAAGTATCACTAGGGAGACTTTCTTTTTTTTTGTTTCGGGTGTGAGGGCTATAACAATTGAAGGGTAATCAACAAAAACGGCAGAAGCCACCGGCAAACTCAGCAACAAACTGTTGCAAAAGGTCACGGCGGCGCAGGCTGCCTCTTACTCACATGGGCCTTCTGGCCGTGCAAAAAGATCAGAGATGCTCAAGGGATCCGCTTGAACCCAGGTGACGAACGTTCGGTTGCAACCAGAATCAACAGCCACAATTTCACACAACCAAGCCAGCAAGTAATCAGTTGTGATTTACCAGGTGCATTCCCAAATACTGCCAACATAATTAAGCAAGACGCTTCCGCGCGCTTCATGGACTGCTCCGATGCAGCGGCTATGGCAAAAGCACTGAGCACCTTGGGTTGTTGCACGCAAACAGCGGCTCTCGCTTGCCGCTTCTTTTGTTAGAACCACATGCGTCAGTTGGGTTCACGAATCGGACAAATTTGGTCCCTTCGTTTGAGGGGCCTGT